AACTTGTAGGCCCATTTATCACAGTAGCCCCTGTGATGGTTCTCTGGGAACCCAAGACTGAGAGTCACCTTGTTACCCCTCTGCCTATAGTATGAGAGGGTCTTGCTTGTGCTTACCTGGGTGTTGGCTCCTTGACACCACCAGTTTGTTAATCACCCAAGCACACTCTTCTGGGCTATGTCAGCTCTTTCTTTGCCTTTTGGATTAACAGTGGGTGCACTCCAGTCCCTGACTTCTTTTGAAGTGTTTCCCTGTAGTGTTCAGCCCTGTCTCCACTGAACACAAATACCAGGTCTGCTGACCCCAAAGGACCACTATACACACCAGCTTGTAGAATTCAGCTCAGGATTATCACCTTGCTTAATGTTACAGCACATAGATATATGAATAGTGAAAACGAGAATAGGTTTATTATCAAAGATTTAAATGTTAGTGAGTCAGAATATTGGCAACAAAAGGTTGCATATAAAACAAAATCATAACATGCTTTCTAGAGACTAAACTTTAACAGGTTTAAAAGGAAGTATTTCTTCACACAACGCACAGTCAACCTGTGGAACTCCTTGCCAGAGGATGTTGTGAAGGCCAAGACCATAAAAGTGTTCAAACAAAAACTAGATAAATTCATGGAGGATAGGTCCATCAATGGCTATTAGCCAGGATGGGCAGGGATGGTGTCCCTAGCCTCTGTTTGCCAGAAGCTGGGAATGGGCAACAGGGGATGGATCACTTGATGGTTACCTGTTCTGTTCATTCCCTCTGGGGCACTGGCACTGGCCACTGTTGGAAGACAGGATACTGGGCTAGATGGACCTTTGGTCTGACCCTGTAGGGCTGTTCTTATGTTAGGTTAACCTCCTATCTCAAGAAATTTATCTCACCCCCAAAAGTCCTCTGCAGCATTTCGACCAAGGTTGGCTGATATCCCATTTTCATCAATGTAAACGCATTACCCATTTACTTCATAAGTGTAGGAAAAGAGCGTGTCTTCTTTGCCGTCTCCTTATACTCCCCAAAGTTTGTCTGTACATAGAGACAGTATAACCACCCAGGGCTTCTTTTTCCTGAGTGCTCCTTCTCTGTTGACTTCATCTGTAAATGGGTATCCATTATGTTAGTTTTCAGTGTTTGATTTACATCTGACACAGAGAAAGGTGAATAAAGATCTCTTGTTTGACAGAAAACCTGTTTGTTTTTTAATTCTTGGGTGGCTCATACCTTGATACCTTTAAGACCTCACATGGCATTCTTTGGTGAATCAGAATATACATACCAGAATCAGGACATTGCTGTAACCTCTTTGCCAGTTGGCATTAAGGGTTTCTTGGGTAACATCCCCAAGTGATGATATATGTATAAAATAACATTGAAACAGGGCCAGGCTTATGACTTTACAAGTCTTTTGGTTTGACAAATGCACCTGCCATTTCTTGATAAATGATCCTTCTGGCAAACATTCGCGTGTGTGTCATAGTTCATGTTGATGACATTTTTATTCATAACTAGTGAGTTGATGAACACACACACCTTTTTGACTAATATTACAGATGTGTCTAGAGGTGAACAAAAGCTCCTGGTTAACAAAATTATCCAGTTCCCAGGTGACAGCCACTTTAGACACTTTAGAAAGTGTCTAAATGATGAATATACGTATTGGTTGTTATGTTTGTGTGGCCCTTATATTTTCATATTATAGTGCATTGTTTTCTTTTCCATTGCTGTATTCAGACAATTAAAGAATTAAGAAAACATATTGAAATTAAATTTTGACACAGATACATAATTTGAACAAGCCAACGTAGCTTTAGACGATGAAGACCTTTCCTTGTATCCTATAAATATTCCCAGACACAAACGACATTATAGTGGAAGTGAGGTTGAGGGTACACACAAGGCTGGGAGGCAGGGTACTGGACTGTGGCCTAAGAAATGTGGATTCTATTTCCAGTTTGACCATTGACTGGCTGTGATGTTGGGCAAGTAACTTCTCCGATGCTTTCCTCTGCCACCCTTTATCTGACTTGTCTATTTAGATGATAAGGTCTTCAGGGTAGGGACTGTCTCTTACTATCTGTTTGGACAGCACCTACCACAATGAGGGCTCTGATCTCAGTTGGGCCTTACTTGAATACAAATTATAGATGATGATGGTAACACACATCAGTATGTCATGCTGATATCACCTCCCATTCCGTGTTTAGTGAAATTGGTATGTTAGTCTTGTTGAGCCTGTCATGGGGTGCACTCACTGCAGGTGGAGCGCTGGGGATTAGCTCTTTCCAGATGTGAGGCCCCCTTGTGCTGCTCACTGCACGCCTGGCTGCTGCTTTCTCTCTCACTCTCTGAGGCTCAGGGTGCTCCCTCTTTGTGACTTGGCCCTCCAGTCACCTCACTGTGCGTGTTTCCCCATTCCGGGGTTGTCATAACTATAAAGGGAAGGGTAACAGCTCTCCTGTGTACAGTACTATAAAATCCCTCCTGGCCAGAGACTCCAAAATCCTTTTACCTGTAAAGGGTTAAGAAGCTCAGGTAACCTGGCTGACACCTAACCCAAAGGACCAATAAGGGGACAAGATACTTTCAAATCTTGGTGGGGGGAAGGCTTTTGTGTGTGCTCTTTGTTTTTGGTTGTTGTTCGCTCTTGGGACTAAGAGGGACCAGACATCAATCCAGGCTCTCCACATCTTTCTGAACAAGTCTCTCATATTTCAAACTTGTAAGCAAACAGCCAGGCAAGGCGTGTTAGTTTACCTTTGTTTTCTCAACTTGTAAATGTACCTTTTGCTAGAGTGTTTATCTCTGTTTGCTGTACTTTGAACCTAAGGCTAGAGGGGGGTCCTCTGAGCTCTTTAAGTTTGATTACCCTGTAAAGTTATTTTCCATCCTGATTTTACAGAGATGATTTTTACCTTTTTCTTTAATTAAAAGCCTTCTTTTTAAGAACCTGATTGATTTTTCCTTGTTTTTAGATCCAAGGGGGTTGGATCTTGATCCACCAGGAGTTGGTGGGAGGAAGGAGGGGGGATGGTTAATTTCTCCTTGTTTTAAGATCCAAGGGGTTTGGATCTGTATTCACCAGAGAATTGGTGAAGAGTCTCTCAAGGCTACCCAGGGAAGGGAATTAGCTTTGGGAGTGGTGGCAGCGGACCAGATCTAAGCTGGTAGTTAAGCTTAGAAGTTTTCATGCAGCCCCCACATTTGTACCCTAAAGTTCAAAGTGGGGAAGCAGCCTTGACAGGGGTAACAAAGGCTTTCCTTACCAGCAGTCTTAGGCAGTCTTCCCATTCACTGCCCCATGGTACTGCTTCCCCAGGGGCTGGTAGGGGAACCCAGGCCCACCCTCTATTCCGGGTTCCAGCTCAAAGACCCTCTAATGAGCAACTGAGGTCTGTCCCATTCTGGACCTTACTGCCTTTCACCTGAACCTTTTCTAACCTTCTGGTTTCCCTCCTTCCCTGGGTTTGTCAGAACTCCCTCCTCCCTGTAGGCTACTTGTTTCTATAGCCCCAAACAGACCTCCCTTCTCCCATGGAGTGATTGCAGAATACTTCCCTGCAGCCCCTCTCTGCTATCAGCTCCCTGGCTTTATAGAAGCCCTGACTGTTGCTGCACAAGTGAGCTTCCCCTAATTAGGGCCTTTCTCTCGGCCTAAATTCTTCCAGTTTGTAGCCTAATAGGTTAATTGGCCTAACTGGCTTCCATAAACCCCATCAGGGTAAGTGTAGGGTGTACTGTAATGCCTAAGGGGGAAAATATTCTCTCTCCTTTTTTCCCCCCCCAGTTTGTTTTTAGTGTACAGTTGTGCCTAACCAACGAACTGTTTCTTTCCTTTTAGACAAGGATCTGCCCATTATAGCCACCTGGGTAGAACCTTGCTCCCACACACAGCTCCCTGGAGTTCCATGGCCTGCTTGCTTGGATCTGAATGCAGGATCTGGTTCTTAGCTAGTCAGTTTTCCACTGTTAGTTTTGTTTTGGGACTTTACACTCAGTTTCAGGGGAGAGGAAAACATTCTTTTAAAAAGTTAGGAATCTGTCATGTAAAATCCATAATAACTGACAAAGGGAACTCGGAGACAGAAGCAGTAACTTAAAGTACTTAAGACCAGATTTGATGCTGACAGCTTCAAATAACGGTGATGCTGTGTTACTTCTGTTACTTGGTCAGTACTGTCCACTTGCAGTCATGTCTTGTCTTGTTATACAACATGTATCATCTTCAGTATTAAAGTTTTCCACTTGTGGCTCTCAAAGCACTTAATAAACATTGTCATTTGCCACAGCTCTCCTTAACTCTCCTTATCACCATTCTATGATTGCATGGTGTGAGAAACTGAGGCACAGAGAAGTTATTGAATGATTTGCCCAAGAAGTCACACAGGGAGTTTGGAGCAAAGCATCTTTTGTGCATTAGCATAGAACCCAGTTGTCTTACTATGGCCACAGTTCAGGAAGGTACTTAAGCACATGCCTGGCTTTAAACATCTGAGTCAGTGGGGTTACTCGCATTGTTGAAAGTTTATCTTGTTGAATGAGGACCTCCTTGTCCTGTTTTAGTAAATATAAAGTAATCCTTCTCTGTTATCTGTTTCCTGCTATTGGACCCAAAGTAAAAACTGTAAATATATAGCTTTGGGGGTGATTTCTCCTTGTCCAGAAAACCCCCGTTAGTCTTTGCACTAGCAGCTTTGCAATATGAGATGTATTGCAAGATGGATGGACCCAGAGGTGTAGCAGGTGTAACAGTTGTACTGTGTTATGGCCTCATTGATCAATGTGTATGTCAGAGTCATGCACCCCCAATTTAGTGGCCTCTGTATCTTTATACAAATGTCTACAATATACTGTCACTGAATCAGGTTGTTGTTTAGTTGAACACTGGACATGGGAACTGGGTTTCTTTGGTTATTTATGGTTTAATGATCGTGTGTGTAGTGCTGTGGTGCTAATTATACATAGATAATTACTGATATGTTATAACAGCCTCTTGTTCTGTTTAGCAGAGAGCACAAGACCAGGATCAGAAGAGCAGGTCCCTCTGTATGAAGAATTTATTTACTGTTGTGGAGCTGCTACTCAGGTCTTAAAGTGTGGGCCCTGGAAAGACCTCTTGGAAACTGAAAGTAAAACTCTCCCCAGGCTCTTATTTCTGATTATTCCAGGTAAGTTTAGAAAAAATGCAAAGCTCTAATTAAAAGGACACTGGCAGGTTAAAATTAAATATGACAAAATTACCCAATTCGTCACACAGGGAGTTTGAGGTAGAGGCAGGAATAGAACCCAAGCTCCTGATGCTTTAATCACAAAATCATCCTTCATCTGTTTTTTTATGATCTGTATTACAAGTAGTGCTTTACATGAATAAAACTGAAAATTTACAAAGTCTGATGTGCTCCTTATGCTGTTCACTTGCTTTCTGCATTATATTTATCTTGTAAAAAGCAACAAACTAACAGATGTTAGTCTATAAGGTGCCACAGGACTCTTTATTGCTTTTTACGGATCCAGACTAACACAGCTACCCCTCTGATATTTATCTTGAACAGTTGAAGCAGGCAGGGCAGTTTTGCTTCTCTTCCTGGTCAGTTTCACTTTGCAGCTCTTGTGCTTTAGGGTAATGCTGCCTCGTCAGTCTTGCACACATGTCCAGTGGATGATTAAATTCACAAGGAAGAGTTTCAATTGCAATTTAAAAGAAAATAATTGATGAAAATAATTTCTTCTTATGTGAGTTTTGTAATATTTTTCTTTAAAAAATCCTAGATTTTCAGCCTAAACTACCCTTTACATCAACTGATATAACAAATATCCAAGATTATTACTTAAATTACATTATTAAATTTTGTACAAACAAAACTGTTAACACTTGCCAGATTAAATAGAGTTAAGATTTAAGAGCCAAAATCTAGCTTCATTGAAATCAACGGGAGTTTTGCCATTGACTTTAGTGGAAGCAAGAGTTGTTCTCTAGTGATCCAGTATAGCACGACAATTATAATTATGTTGAGTGACTTCAATAGTGATTGCTTATATTGGCTTGGGGGGCAACTGTTTTGGTACTTTTAACTCTCTTCTCTCCATCACAGTACTGTACTTTAGAGATAATGTGAATTGCCTGAGAAACAGTGAAGCAATGAATGACCCTTCTGGTTTTCCAGTTCCTTTTCATGTGTTTGACTAAAAAACCTCTTTATTTGTAAGTATACTCTGGTGCTATAAATAACTACTCAGGGGCAAGTCCAAAAAATTAATAATTGTTTGGGGTATGGTGTATTTGGAACAAGTTGCATCATTAAAAATAGATGCTCTGATCTTCCTTCAGTGGTAGTTGGCCTCTTAGCATCAGGGCTGTAAATGTTAATTGTGTGAAAATACGTTAAATATGTATTATTTCTGGACTGTGATTGGCGAAAATCATATTGTATATTAAAAAAAACACCCAATGCCTTAAAAACATTGTGTCCATTTCTGTAGCAAAAAAGCATGCTGTTTCCATTGTTGGATTCTTATGCAAGGTTTTGGAAGCCTCCCCAAAAGTTGTGTGTATTTGATATTTCTGGGCATATCTCTTCGGGACTTGGGCACTACATTTTGTGTGGTACCTACTGGAGTTGGATAATCATGTCATTTTAACACATCAGCTAATGTTAAAACTATCACTATTTAACCGATAGTTGAGAAATAATGCTCCTAATAAATAAAAATCAGATGTTGCCACCTTTTCAAGGGTGAAGTAAGCACCAGCTAACACAAATAAGAGTGGCAGAATCTGTTCCTGCAATGACCTCTGTATGGGCAGACCCCCACTGAAGTCAGCAGAGCTCTTCAAAGGAGCAGGATTGGGACCAAAGACTGTAGCATGCAGTCTGCTTTCAGTGGATGTACTTCTGGAAGGCCAAAACAGATCTGCCGAATTAAATAAGTGTTGTCCCATGTTGTAGATGCTTTCCTGAACATTGCTCCTGCGTTCAAGTGGTGAAGATGGGAAAAGAATTGTTATGTGTGAGGCAGTGGAGTGGCGGCACTACCTTGATATAGTTTCCGAGAGAACCATTCTGCAAAAACTTTGTAAACGTCTTTTGGCCAAAGGAGAAGAAGTGAAATGTTCATAGCAACATTTGTCCTTGCGGTCTGGGAGGCTTTACTAACAGCTGATTCACGTTTTTGCCATTTATTTTCAGTACAAATTGGAAGTTCCCCTGACTGTGAAAACAATTTTTTTAAAAAGAAACAGGTTGCTAAACAAAATTTTGGACTGAGGAATAATGAATGATGGTGAGGGCATTTCCTGGCAGTCAGTAACCAGCTGGAGGAGCTGAGAGCCCTTGGCTCTCCCCCAGTCCCATAACCAGATGATTGTTTTTTCCGTTTTCACAGTTTATAGTAGCAATAATGACCTTCTGGTTCCTAGCAGTTAACAAAGTACCTTCTTATGTGTTAAAAAGTTAAAAATTGAATGACACTTTACCATGGATACAGTGATCTGTTTACAGGGCTAATCTTTGCTCTAGCAGTTAGCAGCTGTAGAGTAACCAACCAAGATTTGATTCTGATTAAGTATATATATATATAAAAATTTCTCTTCAGGTGATTGCTAATATTTTTTTGACCTGAGATGTTAAATATTGACTGAAGCAAAGCAGATGTCAAGTTTTTCCTCCAAGCACTCAAAAGTTAGGAAATGCCGGCACTAAGGTTTCCTGTGCAACCTTCTTTTGGCCCTCTTGTGAGTAGTATTATGACAGTCTTTAATTATGTGATTATATACTATTTTTTCCAAGCCCCTTTTCACCCTTGCTACTCCCTTCCCCTTCAGCACTAGCCTTAGCCCGTCTCATGCACCCCTTGTTCCCATCCGTGTTCCTTGCCCTTTCCCAGCTCCTAGCTAGATCAGGAAAAAGTTTTCCCCTCCCATGACATTTTTAGATTTTTCAAAAACGTTCCCATTCCACATTAGAATGAAACCAAGACCTTTCAATGTTTTTCATGAAAAACTAGAGAGAGATCTGCCCTAAAATAGCTGATAGCCAGTGGTTAGGGCACTCACCTGGGATGTGGGACACTCAGGCTGTGCTGCTCTCCTCCATCCCAGGCTATTCTGGGGTGGGTTTTAACCAGCAATTACATCCTGGACCTGAAAAGCCTTTCGCAATGGAAGTTTTTCAGTATATTCCCATGAAGAGTTTGGGGTTTTGACAAATTAGCATTTTATGACCCTCCCAACCCCCAAAAAAGCTTTGTCTGAAAATTTCCAACCAGCTCTATTCTTGACCCCTTTCCTCACCAGCTCCGATTCTCCTCCTGTGCTGTTCTCTCACCCCTTTGCATACGAGTCAAGGTGTTTCCTCTTCTCTGCCTTGGGCACTGGCAGGGGGAGCACTGAGTGCACAGAGGACACAATCGGCCTGCTCTCAGTTCTGGCACCTAGCCCCACTCTGGCACACAGCAGCCGAGAGTAGCAATTGCAGGGGAAGCCCTGCTCAGTCCTGGGATGGGACATGTTCATTTGGTCTCTGGGGATGGTGCATGCACCATCTGGTTAGCATAGAGAGGCTGTGAGGGGGAGCGCACATGCTTGGTGCAGACAGAATCTTTAGAGAAACTATCCTCCAGATTCTTAATACTGAGCATATGCAAAGTGCTTTTTTTTTTTCCAGAGATTTATAACTAGGAATGATTTGGGCTCCTTTTTTTTTTTTTTTTTTAAAGGACAGAAAAAGGCACATCGCTAACACCAGCATGACCCTCCTGCCAAATTTCAAGTCCCTGCTGCAAAGCACGGAGGCTCTAGAGTTTCTTGCCAAAACAATTGTAAGGTAGTTTTAACACGGGCAAAACAACGCATTTTCCCCTCACCTCGTTCTCGGAAGCAGCTGAACTGTTTTAGGTGAAACTTTCCAAAAAAGTGTGGAAAGTGCCTTAGGCCGATGACCGACATAAAACATTTCAGCCCAAACAGTTTGGCAAAATTTTATATGTATGCAACTGAAAACAGTCTTACAATTGAAAGTGTCAGGCAACTTTAACTATAGATATTGCTGCGTGAGGTGCCTATAATAGGACTCTGTATTATGTAGATTATTACATACTGAATGTCTACCTGTTGACTCTTGTTTGTACCTCTGCTAGCACAGTAGCCATGATTTACTGCAATACCAGACTTGCCAATCCCCAGTATTCAAAAATCATGAGTCAGCCCTCCATTCCCACCCCACGCCCCCAAATCATGAGATCAACTTAAAAAAAATTAGATTTTTTTTTTAATGGGTTCTTTTGATTTGCCTTCTGATTCTTGGGCCTTGAGGTTTCACACTGTCAAGCATTTCTCTCCAACCATAAGATTATTTTTTTTAATGAGCGGAGATTCATCCCTCCAGGATCTAACACCAAACATTGTGAGAGACATGGTAAAGCCATGAGAATTGGTATCATTGCAGAAATAATAATCTGAAATATCTAGAAATCTTTCCATTATCGCTGTAAACTTTTAAGAAATTTAACAGTTTTCCCTTCGTAATTAACAGTAACAAGCTGGAATTGTTAGCATGAAATGTCCCAGTCTGGTAGCAGGGGCTGACACTGGGCTAAGTGAGTATGCTGACCTACTGAGGCATGTGAGTTGTTAGGCAGATGTTTCTCTCTGGGGGAAGGAGGATCTAGGGCAGGGGCGGGTTAACTTTTCGGCCTGAGGGCCGCATCGGGGTTCATAAATTGTATGGAGGGCCGGTTAGGGGAGGGGGTTGTGGCCCGGCCCCCACCTCCTGTCTGCCTCCACCCACCCGGGACTCCTGCCCCATCCAACCCCCCCTGTTCCCTGATGCCCCCGCCCCGGCACTCCTGCCCCATCCACACACCCCCTCTCCCTGTCCCCTGACCGCCCCATCCAACCCCACCTCTCATTCCTGACGGCCCTCCCTGGACCCCTGCTCCATCCAACCACCCCTTCTCCCTGTCCCCTGACTGCCCCCCGCTCCCTCATCCACCCCCCCCTCCTTCCTGACTACCCTCCCCGACCCCCTGCCCCCATTCAACCCCCTAGTCACTCCCCTGACCGCCCCGACCCCTATCCACACCGCCACCCCCTGACCACCACACCGAACTCCCCTGCCCTCTATCCAACCTCCCTGCCCCCTTACCGCGCTGCTTGGAGAACCGGTGGCTG